TGGAATGAAACTAGTAATAAAATAATAGGAATAATGAAGAGTGGATCTGGCCAGAGGGTTGGGAAAAAGCATCAATAATAAGATGGAAAACTAGTAATCAAATAATAAATAATGATGGATCTGGCCATTGAAAAAAATAATAATAATAAGATGGAATGAAACTAGTAATAAAATAATAGGAATAATGAAGAATCTGGCCAGAGGGTTGGGATAAAAAAGGATGGAATGAAACTAGTAATAAAATAATAGGAATAATGAAGAGTGGATCTGGCCAGAGGGTTGGGATAAAAAGCACCAATAATAAGATGGAATGAAACTAGTAATAAAATAATAGGAATAATGAAGAGGGATCTGGCCAGAGGGTTGGGATAAAAAGCATCAATAATAAGATGGAATGAAACTAGTAATAAAATAATAGGAATAATGAAGAGTGGATCTGGCCAGAGGGTTGGGATAAAAAGCATCAATAATAAGATGGAATGAAACTAGTAATAAAATAATAGGAATAATGAAGAGTGGAGAGGGTTGAGATAAAAAGACTCAATAATAAGATGGAATGAAACTAGTAATAAAATAATAGGAATAATGAAGAGTGGATCTGGCCAGAGGGTTGGGATAAAAAAGCATCAATAATAAGATGGAATGAAACTAGTAATAAAATAATAGGAATAATGAAGTGGATCTGGCCAGAGGGTTGTGATAAAAAGCATCAATAATAAGATGGAATGAAACTAGTAATAAAATAATAGGAATAATGAAGAGTGATCTGGCCAGAGGGTTGGGATAAAAAGCATCAATAATAAGATGGAATCAAACTAGTAATAAAATAATAGGAATAATGAAGAGTGGATCTGGCCAGAGGGTTGGGATAAAAAGCAAATAATAAGATGGAATCAAAGTAAATAAATAATGAAGATCTGGAGAGGGTGATAAAAAGCATCAATAATAAGATGGAATAAAAGTAATAAAATAATAGGAATAATGAAGAGTGGATCTGGCCAGAGGGTTGGGATAAAAAAGCATCAATAATAAGATGGAATCAAACTAGTAATAAAATAATAGGAATAAAAGAGTGGATCTGGCCAGAGGGTTGGGATAAAAAAGCATCAATAATATGGAATGAAACTAGTAATAAAATAATAGGAATAATGAAGAGTGGATCTGGCCAGAGGGTTGGGATAAAAAGCATCAATAATAAGATGGAATGAAACTAGTAATAAAATAATAGGAATAATGAAGAGTGGATCTGGCCAGAGGGTTGGGATAAAAAGCATCAATAATAAGATGGAATGAAACTAGTAATAAAATAATAGGAATAATGAAGAGTGGATCTGGCCAGAGGGTTGGGATAAAAAGCATCAATAATAAGATGGAATCAAAGTAGTAATAAAATAATAGGAATAATGAAGAATCTGGCCAGAGGGTTGGGATAAAAAGCATCAATAATAAGATGGAATCAAAGTAGTAATAAAATAATAGGAATAATGAAGAGTGGATCTGGCCAGAGGGTTGGGATAAAAAGCATCAATAATAAGATGGAATGAAACTAGTAATAAAATAATAGGAATAATGAAGAGTGGATCTGGCCAGAGGGTTGGGATAAAAAGCATCAATAATAAGATGGAATGAAACTAGTAATAAAATAATAGGAATAATGAAGAGTGGATCTGGCCAGAGGGTTGGGATAAAAAGCATCAATAATAAGATGGAATCAAACTAGTAATAAAATAATAGGAATAATGAAGAGTGGATCTGGCCAGAGGGTTGGGATAAAAAGCATCAATAATAAGATGGAATGAAAGTAGAATAAAATAATAGGAATAATGAAGAGTGGATCTGGCCAGAGGGTTGGGATAAAAAAGCATCAATAATAAGATGGAATCAAACTAGTAATAAAATAATAGGAATAATGAAGAGGGATCTGGCCAGAGGGTTGGGATAAAAAGCATCAATAATAAGATGGAATGAAACTAGTAATAAAATAATAGGAATAATGAAGACCAGAGGGTTGGGATAAAAAGCATCAATAATAAGATGGAATGAAACTAGTAATAAAATAATAGGAATAATGAAGAGGGATCTGGCCAGAGGTTGGGATAAAAAGCATCAATAATAAGATGGAATGAAACTAGTAATAAAATAATAGGAATAATGAAGAGTGGATCTGGCCAGAGGGTTGGGATAAAAAGCATCAATAATAAGATGGAATGAAACTAGTAATAAAATAATAGGAATAATGAAGAGTGGATCTGGCCAGAGGGTTGGGATAAAAAAGCATCAATAATAAGATGGAATCAAACTAGTAATAAAATAATAGGAATAATGAAGAGTGGATCTGGCCAGAGGGTTGGGATAAAAAGCATCAATAATAAGATGGAATCAAACTAGTAATAAAATAATAGGAATAATGAAGAGTGGATCTGGCCAGAGGGTTGGGATAAAAAGCATCAATAATAAGATGGAATGAAACTAGTAATAAAATAATAGGAATAATGAAGAGTGGATCTGGCCAGAGGGTTGGGATAAAAAGCATCAATAATAAGATGGAATGAAACTAGTAATAAAATAATAAATAATGAAGGTGGATCTGGCCAGAGGTTGGGATAAAAAGCATCAATAATAAGATGGAATGAAACTAGTAATAAAATAATAGGAATAATGAAGAGTGGATCTGGCCAGAGGTTGGGATAAAAAGCATCAATAATAAGATGGAATGAAACTAGTAATAAAATAATAGGAATAATGAAGAGTGGATCTGGCCAGAGGGTTGGGATAAAAAAGCATCAATAATAAGATGGAATGAAACTAGTAATAAAATAATAGGAATAATGAAGAGTGGATCTGGCCAGAGGGTTGGGATAAAAAGCATCAATAATAAGATGGAATGAAACTAGTAATAAAATAATAGGAATAATGAAGAGTGGATCTGGCCAGAGGGTTGGGATAAAAAAAGATAAAAAAGCATCAATAATAAGATGGAATAAACTAAATAAAAATAATAGGAATGGAATCTGGCCAAATAAAAAGCATCAATAATAAGATGGAATGAAACTAAAATAAAATAATAGGAATAATGAAGAGTGGATCTGGCCAGAGGGTTGGGATAAAAAGCATCAATAATAAGATGGAATGAAACTAGTAATAAAATAATAGGAATAATGAAGAGTGGATCTGGCCAGAGGTTGGGATAAAAAAGCATCAATAATAAGATGGAATGAAACTAGTAATAAAATAATAGGAATAATGAAGAGTGGATCTGGCCAGAGGGTTGGGATAAAAAGCATCAATAATAAGATGGAATCAAACTAGTAATAAAATAATAGGAATAATGAAGAGTGGATCTGGCCAGAGGGTTGGGATAAAAAGCATCAATAATAAGATGGAATCAAAGGAATAAAATAATAGAAAATAAGAAATATCTGGCCAAATATAAAAGGATCAATAATAATGGAATGAAACTAGTAATAAAATAATAGGAATAATGAAGAGTGGATCTGGCCAGAGGGTTGGGATAAAAAGCATCAATAATAAGATGGAATGAAACTAATAATAAAATAATAGGAATAATGAAGAGTGGATCTGGCCAGAGGGTTGGGATGGAAAAACTAGCATCAATAATAAGATGGAATCAAAAGCTAAATAAAAATAAACTAGTAGGAAAATAATGAATAATGACCTGGCCAGAGGGTTGGGATAAAAGCATCAATAATAAGATGGAATGAAACTAGTAATAAAATAATAGGAATAATGAAGAATCTGGCCAGAGGGTTGGGATAAAAAGCATCAATAATAAGATGGAATCAAAGTAGTAATAAAATAATAGAATAATGAAGAGTGGATCTGGCCAGAGGGTGGGATAAAAAGCATCAAAATAAGATGGAATCAAACTAAATAAAATAATAGATGGAATGAAACTAAAAAAAGCATCAATAATAAGATGGAATCAAACTAGGAATAAAATAATAGGAATAATGAAGAGTGGATCTGGCCAGAGGGTTGGGATAAAAAGCATCAATAATAAGATGGAATGAAACTAGTAATAAAATAATAGGAATAATGAAGAGTGGATCTGGCCAGAGGTTGGGATAAAAAAGCATCAATAATAAGATGGAATGAAACTAGTAATAAAATAATAGGAATAATGAAGAGGGATCTGGCCAGAGGGTTGGGATAAAAAAACATCAATAATAAGATGGAATCAAACTAGTAATAAAATAATAGGAATAATGAAGAGTGGATCTGGCCAGAGGGTTGGGATAAAAAAGCATCAATAATAAGATGGAATCAAACTAGTAATAAAATAATAGGAATAATGAAGAGTGGATCTGGCCAGAGGTTGGGATAAAAAGCATCAATAATAAGATGGAATGAAACTAGTAATAAAATAATAGGAATAATGAAGAGGATCTGGCCAGAGGGTTGGGATAAAAAGCATCAATAATAAGATGGAATGAAACTAGTAATAAAATAATAGGATTAATGAAGAGTGGACCTTTTGAGGGTGGGGTTATCAATAATAAGATGGAATGAAACTAGTAATAAAATAATAGGAATAATGAAGAGTGGACCTGGCCAGAGGGTGGGGTAAAAAGTATCAATAATAAGATGGAATGAAACTAGTAATAAAATAATAGGAATAATGAAGAGTCGATCTGGCCAGAGGGTTGAGATAAAAAGACTCAATAATAAGATGGAATGAAACTAGTAATAAAATAATAGGAATAATTCTGGCCAGAGGGTTGGATAAAAAGCATCAATAATAAGATGGAATGAAACTAGTAATAAAATAATAGGAATAATGACGAGTGGATCTGGCCAGAGGGTTGGGATAAAAAGCATCAATAAGATGGAATCAAAGTAGTAATAAAATAATAGGAATAATGAAGAGTGTATTGAACTAGATTTTTCGGTTAAAACGCAAAAATATTGAGAAGGAGAATAACTTGTGTGTTTTTGTTGAGAAATAAAATGATTACTTTTTTGTTTTGTTCTTTTTCTAGGAAGAAAAGTGCAAGTAGTGTAAGTCCTGGCACTGTCCCTGTGGTGACCCCACCAGTCACATCGTCTAGTTTATTAAGAACTGACACCTCCAACATATTTTGTAATAATTACACAAGCCTCCTGCCACAAAGCACGAGCCTGGTGAGTTTGGTACTGATTAGCATTTTCATAATCCCTAGGGGCTGATTTACTTTTTTTTTTTTTTTTTAAATGTGCCTTGAGTAATCGCCTCTGCACAAAATATCACTCTTACACACATGTACATATTACATATGCTCACTCATATGTATTTTATACAAATATTGTAATATATATATATATATATATATATATATATATATATATATATATAATACTATGTTCCTTTGTGTAATTAAAGTGTCTCTGTGACAATGTATTTTTCGTTGTTGGTTTCTATAGTAGCAATGATTATGTCTTGAATGATACCTTTGGTTAATTTAGTCATTTTGTTTATTATAGTATCTATGTATTCTTTTTCAAATTATGGGAGGTTACCCATTCTTTAGAAGCCATCAGCTTCAGTTTAAAATTTGCCATTGGAATTTGCAAAGGTGACATAATAGACACTATAATAAAAGATCATAAGCAAAGTGACTCTGAATTTTTCCAAATTTTCATTCAACGCATAATCTCTGCTGCTATAGAAACCAACAACAAAAATATATTTTCACATGCACTAAGGATCCTATCAAAAAATAAGGAAATTCATCTCACTTCATTTTTATTGTGATTTTTTTTTTTTTTATATATATGTATATATATATATATATGAAATGGATAAAGTCCGACAATTATTTCTTTAAGACATTCTTTATGTTTATACATTCTTTTTATAGATACAAATATTTATTATAAACAGAGCATTTACTTAAATATTTGTATCTATAAAAGGAACGTATAAACATAAAAAATATCTTAAAATATATATACATATATATGTCTCATACGTTATGAAAAGGACAAAGTCCGACAATTATTTTAAGACATTTTTATGTTTATACATTCTTTTTATAGATACAAATATTTAAGTAAATGCTCTGTTTATAATAAACATTATTAAACCACATTTACTGGCCTGAATGTCCGAGAAATCCTCACAGAAAATATTCATCCTCCGACAGGATTCGAACCTGTATCCTATACGGAATGTATAAATATATATATATATATATAACCTCACCAGAAGCACAACTTGGAGTTTCATACACAACACAACCTAATGCTAATATATATATATATATATATATATATATATATATATATATATATATATATATCTCAATTCTAATCATTGCTTTTTAAAACAATAAACATAAAAAAAGAGTGAAGGTAGTTAAAATAATAGCAATGTTATAGGGAAAACTATCCTTTAGAAACTCCATCTTCTTGTGGGCACACATTTGTCCATGTTTGTCAAAATGTTATTCAATAAAACTGCCCACAAGGAAGATCTTCATGTGACCTTAGAAACCACTGCATGTCCAGGTCACATAGTTCTTGGTTTTTCATGTTACCCATCATATCCATGATTGCAGCTTTCAGCAAGTTCTTGGGAAGCTTTGAAGAGTGTGGAATCCTTTTAATTGCTGCTGTTCTCAGGTCCACACTGACTTGGGTGGTAGGATCTCTTAGGGCCCTAGCTATGGGCAAATAGTGAACTCATAAGCTGGTGTCAAAACACTATGAAAGTATAAAAATACATTTTTGTAGTAAGAATACCAGCAATACATTTTCATAGTACATAAAGAAAAATATTTACCATCAATACATTATTGAAAAATGAAGAGAAAAATTACCAGCAATACATTTTTGAAAAAAGCAATTACCAAAGCTCCCAATTAAATTAAATTTTGGCATTAAATGACCCATAAGGTGTTGATATGTCATTAAACCAAACCTTAACCAATCCATAGGTTCATCAATGTGTACTATAGGCAGTGGTATAGACTTTTGAGACCATGTGGGAAGAAGTGTCATACCAGAGGGTCCTTGTAGACAATGAACCCCTTGGTGTGCACCAAAAAGGGTACTTCTGTTATCTGTTGTTCACCTGGCCAGTTTCAAGTGGGGCTTACAGCCACATCATGTTAAAACACTGGTTCTTGTTAAGCAATGCCGATCATGTTCAGTACTTAGATGGATAACCGTTTGGGAATACCAGGAGCTGTAAAATTGGATATGCAGGTGATTTAATGGATAAATTATGAATCCACCTCTTATCCCCCCACCTATGGGTTAATTAGTAGGACTTGTATCACTAAACCATTATTGTCTCCAAAAATAAAATAAAATTGAATACAAAATCTTTAGATTTTGGCATTAAATAATCGATAGAGGTTGATATGCCACTAACCAAACAACCAAGAAAACTGGCTATTTCCAAAATTCCTTGTGGGTTACCCAGATCAATATACCCTTGAAGAAAACTGGAGAGTATAACAGACAAAACATTGTGATCGCAACACAGATGAGGGCAATAACCCACATGTAAATAATGGCTATTTCCAAGTTGCTGTAGTTCATACCTCAAGTATTGTGTGCTTTTTCGTTTTTTGCTTCAGATTGGAAGCCACTGTGTTAATTCCCTCAATACCTCTGAGAAATAAGAATGTTAAGTTTGCAGCTTGCTAAAGGTGTGTTCTCAAATACTCAACACATTCTGTATACATGTTGTGTACTTAGATCTGCCTGCACACACAAGACAACTTACCTAAACTCTAGCACAATTGGATTATGTTCAACTGCTTCATCCACCAAGCAAGCACCACTGCATTGACAATAACACAGTTAAAACACTGATATGTCAGCAACAGATAATGTGACGTCTCTATTTTTCAACATAATCTCCTTCCTAATCCCAAAATCTTTTCACAGATCAACCGTTACACAGTGAAAATTCAGATCAAAACTCAGCTAATAACTATGACAAACTATCAGCATTGTAGATATTTATACCTGAAAAGTCGTGAAAAGGCAGGGGAAAGACTTTGATGACTAAACAACGCGGCTGTGAAGTTAGAAGAATAAAAGGTTTTGAAACTTTTGCATCGACCTAATACGCTGGTCTTTTGGACAGGAATAAAGGTTTACTGTATATATTGTGTATAAGCTAGCTTCATGAATAGTTTGACACCTGAAAATTTTTGCATGAATTTTAACCTCTCCAGAAAAACGTGAAGTCGGTCATCAAAAAATGCATGATTTTTAACCTCTTGAAAAAAAATTACCTGTGTGTAGTGTGACCCCCCCCCTCTATTTTTTTGCATGAAAAAAAAACTGATCATAAACACTTGCATATACGCATACATATAGTATCCCAAGTTTCCTGTTTAGGATTGGGTTTCTGGTTCCTTCGGAAATTTTCACATTCTCTTTCACTCTCAGTAGACTCTTTCATCTTAGTAGGATTATTGATTTGTAGTGAATTTTTAAAAAAAATGCCTGAAAGGTCATAGAAAGGCAGGGTGATATTTTGATGACTGAATAATAAATCTAGATGAATAAAATATCCTGTTGAAATAATGCTGGAAACTTGAAAGAAATTCCACCACACTAATCAGAACACTCATACAGTTCTATGATTTAAGTCCGAGCACTCATAGTCCCACAATTTAATTAAGGAGTTTATGGTTCCAGGATTTCAAGACTAGATTATCCAAGGGACAGATGATATAATGGATTAAAGTATTGATTAAAACATATTGGGTTTCCTCAATATCTTAAAAGTCCTATATTCTGAACATATATTTTGGTTTAGTGGAAGAAACAGACAAATGACAAAAAAAAAAAAGTGGACACTGGGGAGTATTGATACGAGTTATCTCCCCTAAAAATGGAAATTGGAATGAGAACAATCTCTCTTTGGGGATTGAATAAAGGGTTCAGTTTGAAATTCCAAGGTTTCTGTGTAAAAGGCAGACATCTGAAGAAGGTCTTGAGAGTCCTTCCTTATGCCTGATAGCTGCCTGGGTGATCATGTCTCTTTTCAATTCATAATTGACATTCATATAAGATTATACTGGACATAAAGTGGGGGGGTCGGTTTTCTATTGTCATTAAGTACTAAATTGATCCCCCCCTAGAATTACTACATATTAATATCCTTCCTTAGGTACCATGCATGATGTACACTTGAGTGATCATGTCTTTAAAAATTTGATTGCCTTGGCAGAAGAATTCTTGAATTAGGCTGCTATTTTGCAACAGACTGATTGCCAACCAAGGCTAAATATTTAGCTATCCCCCCACGTGGGATTGAATGTGGCACAAGGCCGAGTTTAATGTGGGTCATCCGAGCCCGTAGGCCCGGCCAAAAATATAGCCTTCGAACCCGCCTAGGCTGGTTTGAGAACTGTCAACCTCCCCAAATGAAACCTTGCCCTTCAGCAAAGCTTTGTCCGGGTTCCTCCCTGCAATGCAGAGAGTTAGGCAGACGGTAACTTTAATACAGCTATTGCCAACCAAGGCTATAAGATCTTGTTTTTTTTTTTTCTATTTAACCCATATCTGTGGGAGAAAAGAAGGATTCCTATCTTTTCTAAGGGTATTTTCGTGTAAGTGATTGTAATAAATTTGAACTTGGCTTTCTGATTTCTCAATCTGAGCCGTTATCCATTACAACCTTGTACATCGAAGCTTACAGCACCTGGTATTCCCAAGTGGTCACCCATCTTATTAATAACAGGCTTAACATGGTGAGAATGGCTAAAACAAAGTATATAATAAGAATATGTGGGATATTCTCTACTTTCATAATAGTAAAGCTAAAGCAACATTTTGGGCAACATCATCAGCTTTAGTATCTTTAGTATCTTGTCTATATTTCTGAGATGAGGTATTACGTACATTATTTACATTATTCTATGATCTCAACCTGATCCCACAGAGGGCAATGATCTCCCTTCTCTCTCCATATGTGGTCAGCCACACCTGATTTTTCCACTTCCCTTCGTGTTACAGCTTTCTGGTGTTCTTGAAGCCTTACCTTAAGGGGACGGCCTGTCTCCCCTTTATATTTCTTTCCGCATCTGCACGGGATAGCATACACACAGTCTTTAGTCATGTTCTCTTCTATGGTGGTGGTGGGGGGAGGGGTCTTACTTGGGAAAGATATCTGCAAA